GGTATTTAGTCGTATATGAGACTTGTCGATATTGTTTTCAGATCATGCGGAAGATACGAATTAAGTTCCACCGATATCGCTTTTTGGGTGCTGGTACAGTTTCTCCGTCGGTCGATTTTTTTTCAGCTTCAAAATTTGTATATTCCTTTCTTTTATTTCGATCGCGTTATATGATGGCAGTGGCAATTTTTTGATCGTGTTATACGGGGTCCTACTATAAAACAAAGCAAAGAGCAATAACAAAGAAAACAATCAAACGAAGCAAAAAACAGTCCTGGCAAAAGTTCCTAATAAGCTTAACAGGAAATCTAAAACCCAATTAATTTGAAGGTCGTGGAATGATCGAATGGCGAGCGGGGAGATCGCGGCGGAGTAGTAAGATTTCGCCGAACTCGGAATACTAAGAGTCTAATTTCCGTAAAAAGCTTTATAGTTTCACTCATTTCGTCCAATCTAACTCCACGATCGACGCATACTCTTTGATGGCTCGAAGACTGCATTTACCAAGCAGCAGTCCGTGAAATGTTTCTGTGAGGTAAAAAACCGCACGGAAAAAAATCAGCGAACGCGCCAGTTCGTTCGGTCACGTAACGAGTGAAATTTCGCGTGTGCGCGCGCGTTCGTCTCTAAATACGGCACTCGTGTGCGACCATTATCGACTGTTCTACGTTCGCCGATGAAATCTGACCGGTCGATGAATGAAATTGTATCGGCCTAGATGCCGGTGCATTCGCAGCCGCTGAATATGTACACGCGCAATCTCGATCTCCTCTAACGGACTTTTACCTTAAGAAGTTCTGTTTCCCACTCGAGACAGGTTTTCTTGTACGACGCGACAGCATCGATCGTCTTTTCGTGTTGACACGCTCGCAGGCTATGAATAAAATGTAACTGAACTCCTTTGAAGGTTGACGGAGGATATCTTGAGGGAAAAAGTCGAACGTCTCGGTATTATTATTATTTATTAATCATTTTTGCCTGCGGACAAGTAAAATGGGATTTGGTTTACAAATTCATTTCCGACGCATTCTATCACACCACACGTAGGGAAGAATGGGGGAATTACGAACACCTAAGGAAAAAATTGAATGAAACAAAATAACTTTGTTATCGTTTATATGCAAACACGTAATATCTGTTTGTGTATTTTTATAATCAACTTTAACAAAATTTAAAAATAAAAGCAATTTTTAATGTGAAAAACCAAACCGTTGCCGAAACCAAACCGAAATATTAATGGGAAAATATAGGGAACTACTTTTCACTGTGATATCCTAATGTTACAAATATGAATGCGTTTGAGAAATTGTAAGAAAGTTAAAATATGCTCGTTCGAATTAATTAATTAATACTTCTCTTTTATTTCCTGAACCGTTTATATTTTTAAATTGCACAACATTTAATACCCATCCTTTACGAGAGCAGTACTAACGAATATAAAGAAAAAACATTACATCCATTAAATAATATAGGGAAAAGAAGAAGTATGGTACATACAAAATTCTCGAAATACATAATGCCGGATTATCGGAATTCTACTGTAGTGAAATTTCTAGAGGCATGAAATGATGTAAAATATTTGTCACGAATCTTCTTATCAACTGATTTATGAGTAGATACACCTGACTCTTTCTATGTCTTGTATCTGAATCTTACGCATTGCATTGCCATGTTTTTGCATAACTATGCCTGGAAGCCAAATTGTCTTATTGTGTATGAATATTCTGGCATAAACCTCCTCCCTTAGTTGAAAACATTTCCAATTATGCATTAATATTATACTTGTTGCCTTTGGGTTCGTTTCAATAAATCTACTGTAACTCTTAGTTTCCTGCTATAAATTATTTCTGCTGGATATCAATTATCCTTTTACTTCGAGTTGGTCTGTAAACAGATAAGAACGTCTGAATCTGTTTCTGCAGGCTTTCTCTCTCGCAGAGTAGTTTTTCCGATACTCTTTTTGCTCAAAACTGGCTGTTTTTAAATACTAATAGTTTTTTCAATACACATTTTGTTCCAAAGTGGCCGTTTTTAAATGCTGAATTTCATTTGATACATGAAAATTTTTCAGTTAAATTTAAAAAATTTGATTCAATATTTTTATTTGAAAAATTCAAATTTTTAACATTTAAAGACATTAAAATTTTGAACGAGAACAAATGCACGGTATATATTCACTATGATATCTTAATGTTGTAAGTATGAGTGCTTTTGAGAAATATAAAAAAAATTGTGCTCGTTCGAGTCAACGTATCATTTCTCTTTTCATTTTTCAATCATTTATGTTTTTAAATTGAATCACCCTCTCAAAGGGTAAATGCTAATTGAAAAATGAAAAAGCTATAGACACGAATGGTGGGAATTTTGATATTTCATATTCTGTCAGAAAGTGGTTTCCCCGTGAAAACCTTTTTAATATTAAACAACTCGCTTGTCCATTTGATGTCACGTTGTTTTCATTAGTAATCAAAAATACCTTAACAACGATCTTCGGTTCCTTTAAGGTTCGCTTTCCGTTTCAAATGTTTGTTTCAACACACTATTTTAGCTTATACTTCAATGTTCTTATATTATACCTGCTGATACATAATACTCATTCTTAATTTAACAAGATCTGTTCAATGGTTTCACGTTTGTTGTTCCTTGAAAGGATTCCACTGCTCGAATTCTGTTGAACTATTTTACTTTCTATTTAATACGAGGTTGACCTTTCCCTCAGTATTCGTTCACGAAATCAATTTCTCTTTTTAAATCTTGCCTCGGGATCGATACTGATGAGTGGGAATTCCAACTGGCAGTAATAAGGCCGACAAGGTTCGCGATTTAACTACGTTGTTCCTAGACGAAAATCAGCCACTTTCTATTCACGATGAAGCTACGTAAGTTTTTTTTCTTTGTTCGCCTCCCGCAATGATGCTCTCAATTTCAACCAAAATCAATTCACAAATTATTCTCTTTACCGCGTTATTAAATGTATCATTATTAAACATTAATAATCTTTACAAAAAAGAACAAAATTTGCACCATTTTTTTAACGAAAACCAATCATACTTTTCATGCACAATTAAGCCACTTGGAGGCTTAGGTGAAGTAGGTGAAGAAAGCTCAGATTCCGAAGAAAGATTAGACAGCCTTCCTTTAGACGAACGCATAACAATTGAACGCAACAATTCTAGATATCACAAATCAAGAGGCAGCTCTATATTATAACGTGCTCATGGAATACCCGCAAGTGGCCGAACGCGAAAAGAAATCATTTTGTCGTTTCGCTCAGGACCGGCAGGGCGGGTGACAATATTTCGTATAATTTCAATGTAACGTTAAAATTATATCGTACAAGTGTAATAAATCATTACAATATTAAGCTGTAATAATTAAACGAACTGCGTTTCAGTTTTTTATTCTCATTTTGTGTAAACACCGGGTGGGGCATAGGAACCTGCCACTATTTGAAATGAAATAGAGTTTTAAGTTTCTAATTTTTTATTAAGTTCTTCATGTCAATACGAAGATGCTATCGTGCCATTTTATTTTTTAAAAAGGGCTTCAGTGAGACGTTTCTCAGCATTCCTCAGAAATGAAATGGCATGAACTAAGCTATTCCCTCTCTTAAACTCCATAGCGTTAGTTGAAACAATTGACGGTATTCGATAGTAAAAATTCGTCAGATTCCTGTGTCCCACCTTGTATACGATATTTGGTCAATTTGACCCAAATTTACTTATTCGTGTAACTTCACAAACTATGTACCTACAAGTGTTAATAGCAAAACTGTATGCAGTCGTAGGCGGTTGGCTTCAACATTTAACGAAACTAATTAACCGGTCAATGTTTTGCAATTATCGACTTGTATAGACGATACCGCAATAGAGATTGCCACAATCGGTATCGCGCGATCGATCTCCATGATGAACGCGAATAAGTTCATCGGTATGTTTGATAATAATCTGAATATCACGGCTGTGAAGCGAACTGTTAACTTGCACGTCATAATCAATTTATCTCGTTCGGTGTATCTTGTTTCTAACCTGTCCTGAATGAATCTCATACCTCATGTTTCCTCTAAAAGCAATATGTGAGCCACTCAAAAGCCGAAGTGACTAACTTCGTCAAATTTTTGTTAAATCTTTTTACTGATGAAGAGTTAAGCACCAAGCATGTGTCTCGATAGTAAAATTAGAAGAATATCAAAAAGTGGAGTTAATCACTTTGGGCTCTGTGTGGCTCATATTGCTTTACAGGCCCTTCTCTGTTTAATGTCGGTTATAGAAAGAATAGAACACGGCGAGTATATGAAAACGTAGACAATTGTAAGAATTTAAAAGTGTTTTTTAATGTAGGTATTTGTGTTCTTAAACAAATTACACTGAAAAATTCGTCAGTTGTGGAGCGGTTAATATACGTTTTTCATTTATAATCTCCGTTTCTATTAGGACATTCGGAAAGTTCTGTCGGAATTGAAATAATAATAACTCCGCGAAAAGTTAACATACTTATTTAAAATGAGAAGCATTACAATCGATACACTTTCAGTTTCTTATATTAAAAATATATTCAAACTTTAATTGTTCGAATGATTTTGTGATAAATTTTCATCATTTTCTTTATAAATTTTCATTTCAACGTGACTTTGTAGTTAGTTATATTATAATTTCGGTTTTATTTAGTAGGTATATTAGATTATAGTATATGAAGCATCATAAATGTTAGAAAAATTTCTTAATTATTTGACTTATGACCTGGATCAATTGGAG